CCCCAAAACCCCAAAACCCCAAAACCCCGTGGACATAAGGAAGTACTGAACAGGGTTTATATAATTTATTTAAATGGCTGCTAGTTCTGTAATCAATAATCCATCTGAAGCTTCCCTGAAAATTTGGGAGGGATCAGACCAAGATATAGAAGAAGAGGAATGATATCCTCAGGTTCCTAAACACACGAACCAGTTTAGAAATCTGCTGAGGTATAATAAAGGAAGAGCTAATAGAGATGACTTCCAGGAAGACTCATGAATACATCCGGGTTATAGACATAAGAATTTGAGGTGAAGTAGGGGTGAACTTGACACGCGAGGTTCTAAGCAGCAGATAAAAAGGAGGCCTAAAAGGAAGCTGAAGGACTTCAAACCTAACACGTATGATTCTAAGGCCTGTGCAACGTGGAGAGTACTTCATCTTAGGGAGAAAGATAGTAAATTGCTAAGGAAAGTGCCTTCGAATGAGATTCTGAAAGTTTTGCTGATTTAGTCAGCATATAATAAAAGAAAGGAAATCTCCTGACTTGATATTTTAATAATTTGTATAATTAATTTGCTTATAAGACTCTTTTCCTCTTTTTTGCCTCAGCCATGAGAGCCTTGCTGGAGGTTCCACTAGTCTTTATCATCAAAATATTTGGAAAAGTTTGCAAATAAAACAATCTAGGGTTTAAATTAAAATAGGTTTTTAGAGATTCATGAATCTTAATTTTATAAGTGCATCTCAGATATATTGGTTGATATTTATTTTGAAACTGAGCAGATATTTCTATAGTTCTTTTAAACTAAAGAAACAACACAATAAGTCAAAGAGGTAACTGAGCGTTCGAAATAAACCCAGGATCACAGAAATCTTGCCTCATCTACATCAATTCCAAAACACAGTAATTTCTCAGATCCTTCAGTTAGGCTCCCCATTCCAGAAGTCCTGCTATAATCCTCACACTTTTCTCTGATTTCTTTGAACAAGTGCTACATCAAATTTTAAGACTCTTTTTACATGTCAAGCTTTGGCCAAGATGGCTGTTTCCCTGAAGTACCATTCTTGACTTAAAAATTAGGATAGTAGCTTCTATCAAGTTTTTCGATAATTTCTGAAAAATCTGATGAACAAATCACAGTAAAACATCTCATTCAGCTGCTTTATTGACTAGAAAGAGTGACCTTGCCTTCAGCAGGTTTTGACAGGAAATACTCTAAACAAAATGATTACCACAAGCAAGCTTAAATAACCTGTTGATGAAATTTATGACTTAGCTAAATAGCACCTGAGCTATCTCAGCAAGCAAGCTACAAAATATTTAGCTTCTCTGTTATCGTACTTGCTGATCCTGAGTTCCCTATCATTTCAGGACTAAGAAAGCCATAAGGTCATCACTGAAAATACTATTTACTTTCTAAAATGTGGAAACAGTGCAAAACGAACAATCATTTTTACCTCAGCCTGCCTAATCTTTTGATCAATTCAAAGTAATTATGCAGGTAAACTTCTACTACTACACTGGATGAGTGAGCTGAGGCTTCACAATTTAGAGGTTATCTAGAAACAAGATTTCACAAGTGCTGGTGAAAATGATATTTCAAAAAGACTGATAGCCTTAGGTAGGTAGCTTTAAGCCTTGCCACAGTTGAGGTTTAGCCCATTGGATTGGGATAAATAGATTATGAACGGAGTAGTGGTGATGCTATGAATTAATGAAATCAACATCGAAAGTTTTCATAATTTAGGTTTTAAGTTGATTAGGGCGGCTTTTGATATGATTCTTGGAAGCAGACTAGGCTAAAATGATGAGTCCTTTCTGGACGCCCCTATAGGATGATCTGACCAATGTTTTAGGACTCAGTTGGAATTAGTCTGTTTGTGAGCCTTAGCATTCTTAATCTGCTCTTTTTAGCTAAATTATTCACCTCATTAGTTTAATAATTGTCATAAAGTACCACTCAAGCCTATAAATTTCAAAATTCTCCAAAGAAGCTATAGGTTGTTGAGGTTAAGTTTGAATTAAGAATTGAAATGGTCCGAACTATTATTTACTCTCTAGTAAAGCCATGAAGGGAATGGTAAACTTCACATTGATGTTTCTCTAATCTAGTCTAGTATATTTACCATAGGAATGAATTTATAATCAAGAGCTGTTACTATTATTTATTTGACCATTTTTCATGAATCACTCCTCAAAAATTATATCTCCCTCATGGAGGTTTTACATGATCTTCGAAGCCAGGAGTAACTAAAAGAAGCTCTAAGTGCATGAATAGACACCTTCCTGCTAGCTAGAGCTGAAATTTACAACCTCAGTTATTTCTAAATCAGCCATATTGTGAGTTTCAGTCAAAGATATTATTTTGGGGTTTTGGGGTTTTGGGGTTTTGGGGTTTTGGGG